GTTAAAAGACATAACATATCTTTAATAAAGAAAATTAAACATGTACATTTAGAATTCATAGATGGTTTTCCATTATTGTCTAAAGACATTATTTAAAAATTTATTTTTACAGAAGTAGCAACAACTAGTCATAAAAAATTTGTTATATTTAATTTAATTTGATCTTCAAATCGATTGAATTTCTTGTAATCTTAAATTTTTCTAAAATATAATTAAGAATTTTATTAATCAAGTAAAAAGTCATAAGTTTGGTGCGACCAAACCCTTGTTTATAAAGTACAAGAATTTTTATGCCTGTTGAAAAATAAGAGTCATCTTTTGTTATTTATGCTACACTTATTTTTAATGAGGGAAAGTCTTCAAGGAGAAATTCAAATTAATATCAAGATTATTAAGACATTTTTAACAAGAAGAATACAAAAAAAAATTAAGAGCATTGTCCTTACAATTATTCAATTGATCTTCAAGAATAAGCTTAATCATTGTTTAAACCAATCTACAACTTATCACAAAACGAATTATCTGTACTTAAAAAATATATTGATGAGAACTTGGCTAAAGATTTTATACACCATTTAAAACTTTAACATGAATGCCTATCTTGTTTGTAAAGAAAAAAAAAATGAATCACTACAAATGTATACAGATTATCAAGAATTTAATAAAATTAACATTAAAAATAGATATATTCTATCTTTGATATTAAAACTTCTTGATTAATTGAATTAAGCAAAGATATATACAAAAATAGATCTAAAAAATACATATAATTTGATATGTCTAAAAAAAAAATAGAAGATTATATTTTGAACCATACATAGATATTTTAAATATAAAATCATATCTTTTGGACTCAAAATTGTGCCAATTACTTTTAAATATCTTATGCACGATTTTTTTGAAGTATTTTTAAATGATTTCATTGTCTATAATCTAAAAAATATCTTAATCTATTCTAAAAATATAAAAGAGCATAAACTTTATGTTTGTTGTATCTTACAAAAAACTTAAAAATATTGGATTAAATGCCAATATGAAAAAATATATATTTTATACTATTTAAGTTGACTTCTTAGGATACATTAGCTTAAATAGAAGCTTAATAATAGATCCTACAAATCAAATTAATATAGATTGGAAGATTTTAAGAATAGTAAGATACATCCTATTTTTTGGAAGAATTATCAATTATTGTAAAAAAACATCCAAAAAAAAAATTAAAGTTGTAATTTCATTTATATGTTTGATTTTTAAAGACAAACATGAACAAAATAAAGAAGCTGAAGTAATATTTGGAGCTTTGAAAGCCATTTTTACAATAATCCTAATTTTTTATTTTGTCAATTTTTCTAAAACATTTTTTTAAGGAAACAAATACATCAAATTTTATATTAGATCTGATATTGTTGTAAATGAGAGTAGATGAAAAATTCATCTAATAATTTTTATTTTAAAAAAAATTAGTAGTCAAGATTAATTATAAGATCCATAAGAAAGAGCTTCTTATAATTTTGGATTTATTTCAAGAATGGTGCCGTTATTTAGAAGGTACTTCTAACTTAGTGAATGTTTATATAAATCACAAGAATCTTAAGTATCTTATGTCATCACATATTTTAAATTGTGACCAAGCACATTGAAGCATGACTTTATTAAGATTTAAATTCAAAATTACTTGTCAATAAAAATAAAAAATAAAAAATAACATGATTTATTAGATGTTCTTATCTTATGCCAAAAGAAGAAGATGCAATTTTTAATCAACAATGAACCATTCTTTTAAAGTAAGAGCATTTTTTTCTTTAAGCAATGATATCAATATTGACAATTGATTTAACTTTTCTTGACCAATTTCAATCAAGTATATCTTTTAAATCCTCTTGGTTGTGATATTAAAAATAATTCTTCTAAATCTCATAATAATTCTAAGTTTGAATTTAAGAAAAATCTATTGTATTTTAAGGAAAAATTATATGTTTCAAAAGGTGAAGTACAATTACATGCTTTTAAGCTCATCACAACTTTCTAACTACAATGCATCTTAGATACAACAAGTTCTTAAAATTAATTTTGAAAGATTTTTAGTGGCCTCAAATAATGGAAGGTAGTTAAAGACTTTGTACAATCATGTGATATTTGTTCAAGATCAAAAACTCCTTGACATCAACTATAAAGACTTTTCCAACTACTATCTATACCAAAACAACCATGGTCTTCTATTTTATGGGTTTTATTATAGATCGCTCAATCTCAAGTTTTTATGACTCTATATTTGTAATAGTAGATTATTTTACTAAGATGATATATTTTATATATTACTAATTATAATGACAAGAAATCATTTAATAATTTAATATAATTTATTATCATTATAATGTATATATATTATTAACTTTATATATGTTATTTTATATTAAAAAATATATTATATTATATATTTATATTATAATAAATTTAAAAACCACACAATATACGAAAATTTCAAATTTTTTTCACACAAGTTAGGTAAATATAACATAATAGCATAAACTCACACAAAGCTTTGTAATAAAGAAAATCCTATAATGTGTTTGACCTTTACTGGTATAGAAGTACATCACCTCAAAATCACTTGCTTAACTAAAAAGAGTCCTTTACTATTATTTAATTAAGCATGACACATATCTTGGTGGTTTAGAATGTGCATTCTGTCTACTCTGCAATTTGATGTAATTGTCTACATTTGTAAAAGATTGAAGAAAGCACATGGATGTTGCTGGATCAAGGTTCAACTCTATCCTTTGGCAAATTCTGTCAACTCTGCAAAGTGAGGGGTCTTCAAAGCAGAGATCATTGTCCACTCCATTCATGAAGCACTAACTTGGTCTTCATGCAAACAAACAAAGACAGGTATAAGTATATATATATATATATATATAGAGAGAGAGAGAGAGAGGGAGAACTAAGTTGAAGGTGTGTTGTCATTTGCTATAGTTCTCAGATTTGTATTTTCATACAAATAGTAATCTGTTGGCAGATTTTATGGAAATTGCGTGTGGCACTTTTGGGGTCACATATTGTACACACTCAAACAACATGAATATCCTTAAAAAAGAGGGTTAGATAGATGGTCCAAATCCTTGGGAAATGCATGTGACCCCCCTGCCCCCCACATTCAATATTGATGGTAATCCTTGACTTTGGAAACTCTAACTTAATGGTGGTTTGCCCAGCATGAGAACCTGCATGATCTGCAAAAGCGACATCAATAATTGGTTATTAATAGCAACATTTTAAATGAAAAGAAAGAGTTTGACAAATTAAAAAAACCTTTTAATAAATTGAATTATGCAACTGAATATACATAACACACTGAAGTAAAAACTTAAAATATGATGTATTTAATAAAGAAAGTTTTAAAATACCATATACACACAGCTTTCTCCTTCTGAACAAATAAATGAATAAAAAATATTAGTAATTGGAACATTCAATTGTTTGTGACCTTAAACAAACATCAAAAATAGTTAATTCAAACATTGTACAGTCAAAATTCAAAACCTTGAGAAACAACAATTACACCAAATGAGCATAATTGGATTTCTGATAAGTTATTTTAACTCATATTAGCAATTTCAGGCATTTCTACACAGTAAGCATAGAAAAGAAAAGAAAAAAAGAGGTTTGTACACCATAAATGTCTGGTGTAAAACAGTTGTCATCAATAAGAATATTGATTTTAATTTTATTTTTTGACTCTAGAAAAGAATCACTGACATAATTCATACACTGGTATAAATGAATTGTGTTTAAAGTGTGAGTGATACTGTTGGAAATTATAATCATGAAATAAATCACAGACAGAGTTTAAAGTTAAACAAGATTGTTGTGAGGATGTCTTCTTACAAATTAAACACTACAATATAATGTTTGGAATATACATATACATAGTGCAACTAAGATGCAACAAGAGAACATTCACACAGCTGTCGAAAGTCTGTAAGAAAATGAAATAAATTATGATCTTTATTGATCTACTTGCTAATCAATAAAATGAGTTTTGGAATTGTGTGCATACACATAAGATAAAGAGTGGTTTAATGATCACTTCACAAAAACTTTGAATGGTAGTGAAAAATGAATTACACATTCACATACCAACAGATTACTATTATTGATATCACTCAACGTATATGCATATTTACACACATTTGTATATACTTATACTGTGATCATATTAAACATGAATAGAAAATCTTGTACAAGACAAATTACGTCTTTGACCAGGATATTTGATTGTATAGATACCCACATTGCAAAAAAAATATTATAGTTTTAATTAGTTTGGTGGGGGATGTTCCACCTGCATGTGTATATTCATTTATTACTCCCATTGTACCTCACACCAACGCACCAATTACTTAAACTTACAAATTTTCTGGCATTGTGAATAGAGAACCTTCGAAAACGGTTTTTTTTACGAATGAATTTGGATGGATGGTAAATGGACGTGAATTTGGATATATATTCCACATCCATCCAAATTTGGCTGGGTAATTCACGGCATCAGTGGCGCCGGAAGCGCACACAAGTTGGGGGGCAGCATCTCGCCGCCGGTCAAGAAGCAAGACCCGGCCCAAGCTGCCGAGCCTCAGTAGTCAGAGGCATGGAGGAAGGGAGAGCCCCATTGGGCTAATAATACCCGATTCAGGTCCCGGTGCTCCCCCGGCTCGGGCCGAACCATGCTCTTGGTCCCACACAGCAGCCCCACCAGCCCGCCTCTTCCTGAGTCGCGAGAGCTGTGCATCGCTCAATCGCCACATCCTGGCCGTCCAATTTTATCGTGCGGAAATTGAAAACCATTTCACGTCTACAGGTATGGTGAGAAAGGGCGGGATACGGCCCATTGTGAGGCGTTGGATTGGGTCGTCGTGCCAGGCTGGACTGGGGATCCGTGCCGTCGATGCGGTGGTAATGACGGAACGCAACAGGGGTAGGGCCCGAAGAACTCATTCAAGGCTGACATTCAGAATCCTTTGCTGTAGTTTGTAGCTTCATTGCTTGCTTGATTGATTGTTTGCCTGCGGGGAGGGATGATTGGATTCAGTGCTTCTAGTTTCCCCCCTATAATGGACTGTCTGTTCGTGGTCGCTGATGGTGGAAGTGGCACGGGCGATGGCGCCACACTGTCGTGTGGAGCGATGGGAAGTAGAATGCGTCGCACATGCCATGCGGGGGTGGAAGCTTCTGCTCCTCGTGACGGCCGCTTCTAGAGCTTCAACCTTCTGCAGAAAGTCTGGTCTGCAGTGAGCTGGATGGCGACGACCGCGCGAGTCCAGAGGGCTGTTGAAAGTCGTTGTCGGGCCTGGTTTCGGGCTGATCACGGTGGACGGATCCTTTCTTGACTGGTTAGGTGGCGTTGTGGACTTGGATGAGACCTGCTCGAGAATTGCACAGGTTTCATGCTAATTTGTGGTAAGCTCGGCAAGTTTGTCACAATTTGCTTTGAAATGAACGCAGGCAAGAGGTTAGCATGGTCTCGTTATTAAAGCGAGCGATTCTTCCCTAGAGTTGTGATCAGCCTCTTCGGAGAGGCTGTGAAGTCTGCTCAGACCGAGAGTTAGCATTCTTCGGAAATTTTTCAACTTTCCAATTTTGTTTTCACGTTGTTGTTGAACGACATTTTCGTGGTTATCGATCTGCCTAACGATTTACAGATATGTACCACGTGCGGCGTGTTCTTGTATCTTATGGTGTAGGAAGACCCGCTCACATTTTGCAACGCTGGAAAAGGTATTTTCCTTCCGCTTCAATTTGACTGGTTTAATCTGTTTAGTTGGCAGTGTAGATGTTCTAGTTCCACATGTTGAGACGATAATTGTTATTGCAACATGAATTATGAAACAGATTCCTTGAATTGTTACAGTTTCTCCAGGCGGTGTACTAATTGCGTGTCTAGCAATATCACAACACCGGGGTTTGTCGTTATTTCTGAATACTTGGATGCTTGTTTTTTGATGTCTGTAGATGTTTCTTTTGATAAATTTCCTGCTGAAGAATTTCTACACCCGAAATCTATCATCTCAGAAATTGCACAGGTATTCGTGATAGTTCAGAACACACTCGAAAGGTGATACGAAGGTTGGCTGGGAATTGGACGAATGAAAGAAAAGAAAAAAGAAAAAAAAAGCGCAGCGAAACGAGTTGTGGTCTCTTTAAAAAAAATTCTGTGACCGACTTTAGGCAGTAGAGCCTTGCACATGAGATGGAATTTTTTTATATGGTTGCTGTGTATAAACTCAAATTCGGGTATCGTTGCTGACAGTAGTTGGCCATGCATACTACTCGAGCATATTTTTTTTCTGTGGAAAGAGTAGCATGACTTGTGGTCCGTATAAGCGCTTGGACTTATCGTCTAAGTAGCTCACAAGCGCTTCAAGGGTAGCATTGATCAACTGGTATTTCTACCCGTTTATTCGATTTCATATGACTCTTCTGCTGCATCAGTGAACACGACAATATGGAAGAGAATATGGTTTTTAACTGATTTTGCAGCGTGGTTCAGTATTGGGTACGACAAATTTTTGTTATCAAATAGGGCGTAAGACATTCTTGCTATAATTCTCAAGGCACAAGCATTTTCTGGTGTATACCAAGCATGGAACACATGGACACTGACGACTTGATTGTGGAATTGCAAGCCTGTCCCAACTATTCTGATTCCTACATGGGCCTTATACCCCGGCGGATGCATCTTATGTACAAGTACTTAGATCTAAAGGGAGAAGAACCTTGGCCGTTCTTGGAGGAGTACTTTGGTGTTGCATTGGCTTTTGCAGCACTTGGAGCGCTAATCCACAACACAAATAAGATGGACAATGAAATGAATACCATCGATCTTCACTCTCAGAGGGTGGCTCTCGAGTCCATGTTGTCAAAAACCATGGGCTGGTTGCACAAAATAGCACAGGATGCTCTGCATTTACAAGATAGATTTACAGCATCGGAAATAGCTAGGGACAGAGATAGTATTGCTTGGAAGGAAGAAAAGGCCGTTCTTGTGAAAAAAATTGAAAGTGCTGAATTAGAGGTTATCGAATTGAAGAAGAGGAGGGAAGAGGACTCGAGAGCGAATGAGAAGGTTGTGCGCATTTATGCCACCCAAGAGCAGACCTGGAAGAGTGAGAGAAAGAAGCTCCGTCATGAAATTGGTCTCCTACGGAAGGACCTGTTAAAGGCTGAAGTCGGTGAGCTGTGTGGATATAAATCCACTACGAGAGGTAACTGTTGCGAGATGTGTGATCAGATGGGAAAACATTTAAAGGAGCTTCAAGCAGCACTTAGTGAAAAGCAGTCTCTTCTCGTGATTGCCGTGGAGGAAGCTCGTTCAGCAGATCAAAAACATAAGGACTTCTTAGACAGACTTGCTATTGCGGAGGGAGTTGAAGTTCAGTTGAGTCAGGAACTGGAGAAGGAGGTTGAAGTCTCCGTCAAGCGTCAGCTTCTCTTATCTATGGTGGAAAAAAAGAAGGAAGAAGTTGAAGAGAGGTTCTCATGTTTACTTGAGGAGTTGAACACCACAAGAAAGTATTTAAGTACTTCTAATTCTGAAGTAGACAGGCTTCGGAGCGAGCTGGATGTCCTAAGGCAGGAGAATCAGTCTAAAGATGCCGAAATCAATAGAATGATGGAATTGGCACGGATTACATCAGAAGAGATGAAGGATCTTGCTAAAAAGTTTGAGCAGATCCTGAAAGAGAAAGAGATTGCTGAAATAGAAATAGATTATTGGAGAAGGCTTGCAGATGACACAGGTGCGAAGCTGCGACCCATCGCGCACAAGGAGGAGACTCATTGGCATGAAATGAAATCTTACGGGCCACCGATGAAATCTGACGAGCAACTTCGAGCCACCGATGAAAGATTGTCAGCTCTGAGGTCAAAACCATTAGCGATGAAATCGGGAACTACTAACTCAAAGTCCCTATCTCAACAGATGGAGTTTGAAGCATCAGCTAATAATCTGAACTGTAACGCTCTGGCTTTGTGCGACGAAATAAAAACTGTACAAAACCCCATATTTGACTTTGAAAGGTTCGATCACACTACGCATCAACAAATATTGAAGGAATTGCAGCTGGAGCTCGACGAAGCTAAGTAAGGCAAACGTTTGCTCATCTCTGGTGTAATTTCTGATGAAGAGTCGATGCATACCACATTGCTCAATCAATAACGGACTGTTCTGTAATGCTGTCGCTGAATGCAAATCGATAGAAAGTCATTTAATCGAAGTGAATGAACACAAGATTCAGAGTAGGTCACCTCGTGTTTGCGAAGCCTCTTTTGGAGGGGACACAGCTCTCTTGATTGAATAAGCTCATTATTTCGTTTTAGTTCATAAGGGTACCTAGTATGTAAAGGGCAGCTCCGTCGGCTCTTCTGTTTTATATCAATTTCACGATTTTAATGTAAGAATGTCCCCGTTATTGTTTTTGAAGGGAGAAGCTAAGGGTTCAGGATCTTGAACACAAAGCCATGCTTATAAAACTCACTGAAAAAGGAGAGACCGAGCTACAACAAAAGGACTTACAACTTGCTACCGTGGAGGCGAAATTATGCCAAGTCTTGTTACAATTGGACAAAATGAAGCGAAATGAAGTTCAAGTTTCTTCTGAACAAAGCGAAGAAAAGGTATTTGTTCATTCTCTTCAGTCTCTGCAAATGTTTTTGAGGAACTTATGTGATAAGTCAGCTCTAAATTCGGCATCTACGATATCAACAAATGTGAGGATGAAATGCTGCCATTGCAATTATGTACTTTCGAAGTAATGAAAAATCGAAAAATGATCTGAATATTGTGCAATAGCTAATTTATTTTCATAATTTTTTCGTAGATTTTTTTGCAATACATCAATGAGGATGATCAGGAAGTACTGCCTGTAAGCACCAAGAAAGAGACTGAAAAAAATATACCTGCAAGCGAGACAATTGAAGATTCAATGCAAATTGATCAGGAAGATGAGGGGGAACTTGGTTTCGAAGTGCTCCTTCATCAGGGGAATTTAGATCTGGAGAGAGCCTCAAATACTCAAGAAAATAATAGCGCTGATGTGGTTCAATGTCACAACGCTTCAAGACTGGAACGAGTTTGCAGCTTCTCATACGCATTAGATCCTTGCTCATCGCCTAACAAGGACGATATTGTCGAAAAACCGCTTAAAATAACTGAGTTTGACATGGGCTTCACTTTCTCTACAACAGTCCAAATTTTGAAAGTCGAGGATAATCCAGCATTGTCTCAAAACCTCTCAAGGTCTCGCAGCTCTGTTAAAAGAAAACGAGAAACCATACCCAGAACAAATGATAGCTCTGAAGAAGAATCGGATAGCGCAGTTTCATATGAGGATATTGATGATGCTGTGATTCCGGTAAGAGCACGGAGGAATCCCAAGGACGACTTCGTTGCTGGGTGGATTGATTTGAGTATAAGCAGCTCCTGTCTCGTCTGTGATACTAGACAGAAAAAACAAGCATTTTGCAGAAGTACCAAGGAACTTCAAAACTTATGATGCAGATTTCATCTAGTTGTGAAGTGATCAATATAATTTTTAAAACTTGATGTGTGATGCAGATTCCTATGAACGGTACACAACCGCTTGATGAAGACCTATTCAATGCTTTGGGGCATCATTCTCGAAATTCTTTATCAACTCTTAGAGCAGGATCACATGATCCTACATCTCCAGTCTTCGCAGGAGGCAGAATGGAAAGGTTAGCTATGCAGTTGTGGAGGTTTTTGTTGCTGTTTTACACCCCAATTTTAGAAAAATTGTTTTTCGTGAAGGAACTCTAGGAACCTAAAGTACAATGTTTATACTTCTTCTTTTTTCATTCTTTTCTTCTCGTTTTTTTCTTAGGATAGTAATAATAAAAATAATGATAATTTGAAAAATTAAACTAAACTCACATATTCGAACATTGCATATACTCTCAAGATTGAATGTTTCTGCACAGGATATTTCTCTCTGATCATTGTGTGTCCTGTTCGAAGAAAATCGGCTCAATGCTTAAATGAAAGAAAAAATGTGGATTCTAAGAACTTTCCATACCATTATAATCCGATTGAGCTTTAAGCTTGTTCTTACAGAACTGTTATACATACCAGGGAGGACATCGAAATTTTGGGCCTGGCATTGGAAGTACGGAGGATAGATCAGCAACTTGCAGAGATGGAGAAAGCTGGAGGTGTTGAATCGTCGGAGATTATTCAATTTAGAATTCCAACAGCTATGGTGGACTCGAGTCTCAGCAAGCAACCTAGGCGATCCGCAGGGTTGGTAGAGAGGGTTAACCGACTCGCGAAGCATATGGTAAGAAACTGTTTGACATGCTCATGAGCAGATAAGATGAAAATCGCATTTATTGATGTAAATTTTAAGTCTACCTTGGAATGCTGGGTGATGGTTCGTGAATTCTTAAAGTAAAATCGTATCCGATACCATGCCTGGCTGCCACACTGTAAGCTTGTTTGAAATTGTACTTGATAATTTTCATGTAAAAAATTCTCACTGGAGTTGAGATTCACTTTCATGCACATGCTGTTGATTTTCACTATCATCCTTGTCGTGACATTCTAGTGATGTGTTCTTCTAAATGTGCAGGGCTTCACAAGCCCAGTGCCAATTGCTGTAATCAATTCATTCGAAGATGTGAATCGAATTTGCATACAGGGTGCCGCAGAATCAAAACAGGATTCAAGATCGAGTCCTCAACCATCCGAAAATCCCCCAATCAATTACTTAACCACTCTCCAGCGGAGGGCGGAGATAGTTAGCGAAAAGCTTGTAGCAATTCGAAACAAACTTCTGAAGTGCAGTTCTTCTGGTTCGTCATTGTTTCCGACACACCAGTTGATGGATAATGTTCAAGCTCACCTGCTTCAGGTTCAGACAGCATTACGTGCCAGATTGACTACGATCACCATGGACCCAGCTCACTCCATTTCTGCTAATCAACTAGCTCAAGTGAGTCAAGCACGATTTTTTCTTGAATTCGACCAGTTTGTTTCTTGCAGTGCCATCGATTTCATAAATTTGTAAATCCCGCCGCAATTTCTGGGTTATGTTCGACAGAATATTACTGTAATGCCAAAAAACCTCTCCAGAATTGCTGAAGGTGCTGGACAGGATGTAGTATGCAGATGACTACTACAAAAAATTGGAAAATATTTTCAAGGTCGCATTCATTCTGGAAGTCTGTCTTGATCTCCCACTATCTAAACTGATGGCATGGTGTTCTGTTAATTTCAGGTGCATCCAATGGCCATCACTATGGAGGAGCATAAAAGTAGGCGCACATTTGGAAGAGAACCGAAACATAGATCTTCAAAGTACCATCTCTATGCACAAGCTCTGCTCGGTTACTCTATTTTGTACTCTGTTTCGCAATGGCGATAACATTACCATTTGTTTCCAAAAGTTCAACAAAAGTACCATCTCTAAAACCTTAGCTTTTGAGCTCAGTGATATTCTGTCCATTTAGCCATGTAACTTCAGGAATAACTGGCTCCGTCTGCTATAAAAACAAGTCGCATTATTGGTTGACTGAAATGATTGTGTCATGGTTCTTCACGTGGTGGCAAAATTATTGTGACATCACTTCTCACTGCAATTATGATTCAATGTTAGATGCAGACTGGATGCGGAGATTTATCACCCGACGCGGAAGGCCAAAACACAATCTTTCCTGCGAAAGTTGGTCATGCATCTGCATTAATACTACATCATTAGCTGGCGAGAATGACGTTGTACCAAGCTTACTTGAAAATAAAATGCGGCATTAAGTTGCATAAATTTCAAGCAACTACAGATTAGCACTCGACTTCATTTGGACATGAAGAAACCATTGATTATGCCGCGAACCGAATCGGAACACATGGTCTGGTTCAATGAGTTGTACAATTTCAGATGAAAACCGGATTTCATGACGCTAGAGTATAAAAGACCTGCAGAGGGCATATGTGACATGGTGGCCATCTGTATCTCGACGACAGGATACACATGCAGCTATAATGCTTTTCCCAATGCAACATGGTGTTAGAAATCTGTTCCTACACATCTAACTGCGAGTAACTATTCCTACGGAGATTATGACTAGACAGGAACTCGTATGCAGTGTTTATTTTCAACACTATTCAACCAGTCCTGATCAGCAATCTCCGTGTGCATGGAAATAGTAATCCCATCGAAAGTACTTTATTCTCAGTATTGAAGCCAGTAGCCCACATATTTGTCGAGGCTGTTATTTGGCTACATTTATTGTTGAAGTGGTTCAATACCAATGATTCCAAAAATCAATGACGACCTCAGGAGATGAAAAGTGCGTCAAGTTGGTTCCTATCTGCAAATGTAAGTGTCGTTCCTTAATCAAGTAACTAAGTGAGTAGCAAGAGGACCGTATGTTCCTTCCCTCAAAGCTCTTTTTCCTCGGTTTCATAATATTTAAATAAAATTTCTTCGCTACGTGCTCTATGCTGGTTGCATATCTGAGCTATTTCTTTTGCACGTCAAGTGGTTGTCAGAGTTCAGATTAAGAACCTATTATTGATCCATTCAGATCTTGGGATTACTTGATGTGTGCAACGTCGTATCATGTTTTAGAATAGGGAGGCGGATATTCTATTTTAAAACTTGGTCTCATTATGTTGCAGGAGTGAAGTGGAATTGAATGTTCGTACTCACTGCAACCTTTCCATCTCCTCATTCTCATAATGCAAAAGCAACAGAATTAAAGTTGGGGTATAAGTTTGTTCTTGCAATGGCACATGTAAATGTTTTCTGTATGGTATTCATTTCTCTCTTATTCTATGGTCAAATATTGCAATTACAGCAACTGAATAGAGAACATATGTTGTTTAATAAATTATAAACCTAAAAAATATGTTTTAACCACTTGTATAAAAATGCCAAAAGATAAATGAGGAGAAAAATAAATCTAAATAAATTGTAGATATAAGATTTGGTTTCTTAGTGAAAATAACATATTGTCAAAGTATAAAAATTTAATTAATTATTTGATTTTTCATTTTAAAAATTATAATATATAATTGCAAATCAAAAAAATTTGATGCTTTTATAAAAAATCCAATATATTCTAGACTAGTATTGTAATACAGAAAAATAGATTAAGTAATTTATATAATATTCTTCTTTTTATTATTTTGGCAATAAAAATATTTATTATTAAGCTACTCTCTTTGTAAATTAGTCCAAATTCCAGTATCCAAATTTTGTAGCTTATATTTCATACATAACTCATAAATGTATCACCAATATTATATTAGTTTTAACCTACCAAAAACAAGAGATTAAAATGATATAAACACCAAAAATCTCCAACTTATTGTAATCTTCATATTTAGGATTTAAAATGTAACTTGTGTACCACTTTTTTCATATTTTATATTTTTTAAGTACACAATCTGTATATAAATGTATGTATATATATATATATATATATAGAATTCAGAATCGGAATTACTTAGTAAATTTATCTTATTTACGATTAGTTTTTATTTTTTATACTTTTTTTTCTTGTTGCTGTTATCTTCAGTTTTATGATAATATTAATTTGTTTTATTTCTATGTGTTAAAAAAAATCCGAAAGTAATATATAGACTATAAGTGTCAATTTAAATGTGGTTACAAAATATTATTCACTTTATAGTATCTGTATGATATTGCAAATTGCATATTATATGTTATTTATATAAGCATATTAACTTATAGATTAGTTTAGCCTTTAAAAGTGTTTTTAAATTTTCACATATATAATATATATATATATATATATATATATATAGATATATTCATCTTCACAATACTTGTTAAAGCAACAAAACCATCACAAATAAGATTAGCTTTAGTATCACAAAAAATACAAGAAAATACATATATTATAATGAAGCCCTCACTGAACTATTTATGGTTTTAACACAAATTAAAATTAAAAAATTATTTGTTTTTCTTTTATAAAGAGTAGATATAAGTGATATAGGATTAGTGAAGCTAACATCTTAAATTATACCAGAGATACAATATAAGTTATATTTTTGTTGACAAAAAAAACCATATAGAAGGGTTTAAATATGAGTTAGATAAATAAAAATTTAATTTAGAGTACACAAATCAATACACCTTAGTTTATTAATTAAGTAGAATTTTGTAAACCATCATTTAATACTATAGATTTAGATAACTAATACATTACTAAAAAAAGTCAAAGTAATAAAAAAATTAGCTGAATTTACATCATGTAAATTATGGTTATATTAAGATAACATTTTTTTTCTTAAATTAATTGATTTATAAAGATTTAAAATTTATCAGATTGAAAATCCATAAAAAGAATAAAACTATGTCTTACAAATGATAAAAATAAGAATTGGATAATTTCTTAAAAACTTTCTTTGATACAATATATATATATATATATATATATATATATCTATATAGATAATTATTTAATTAAAAATAAAATCATCCATAATTATGAATTAAAAAATTAAAGTATAAAGCTTTGAATTAATGTATTTTTTAAATGCTATAGAGTATATAATCTATTTCACTATGTAGAGACCTCATTTTCTTTGCATGGATATCCTCTTGTGCTATGTATATCTATATACACATAGTTAAATTATTAATTTAACTAAAACTTTAGGATAAATTTGTAATAAAGTATTTAAGTACAATGACTTATGGTATTTTTAAATTTAAAATAAATCAAAATAAATTTCATTCAATTCCTTTATTCATCTTAAAAAAGCTTTATTTTATTTTATTTGGAGAATATTTTATTATATTGTAACAATAATGTTTTATAAAATAAAAAATAAAATAATGGTAGATTATATATATATAGAACGTTTAATATCTTGAAAATGTATAAAAGATTCTTAGAATACTTTAGAATTAACTATAGGATTAAAATAATAATATTAAGGTTAATTAATGTGATTTTTGTAAGAATCTTATTAAGAATTCATAGAAGACATTTAAGAAAATAATAATTAGCATAAAAAAATCATACCTTCTAATTATGAAACTTGTAGTTTATAATTAAAATATCACCAAAAAATATATGTTAATTATAAAAATATATATTTTTTAAGTTTTTATAATTATTTTTAAAATAATATAAAAAAATAAAAAAAATCTTATTGCAAAGGTCTTTTGTATTATTATAAAGATTTACTATAAAGACATCATCTTTTTAATAATACTATAATTTAAATATTTATTTTAAAATTATATGTAATTAAATTATTTTATATTATGATCATCTAATCATTTATTTTTAAATTTATAGGTATATAATAAATCAAAAATTATTTTATCTAATACTTAAATTAAATTATTTTAGAAAATAATATTAATTTTGATAGCACAATAATTTTATTAATATAAAAAATGATATAATATAATTAATGATATCTTTAAAATTAAAATCATATAATTTTATATTTATCACAATTGAAATATATCTAATAAATTAATTAATTTAGATTAAATATATAGCATTCAAAAACTTAAAATTCAAAGAACTAGATAGGAAAGCACTATTTCTAAAACTAAATTATATATTTTTTGAGAGTTAATATTGAATCAAGCATATAATATAATTCTATAATAAAAATATTATAAATTCCATATTTTCAAACAATTTAAGTTGACTTTTTAGGATATGTCATTTCAAATGATGGCCTTATAATGGATCCTAAGAAAGTTTAAACTATCATAGATTAAAAGATTCTAAGAATAGTAAAAAAATATCCACTATTTTTTAGAATTTGTTAATTACTATGAATTTTTAATCAAGTACTTTTCTCAAGTTGTGGCTCCACTTATACGTTTGATTTATAAAGACAAACTTGAGTACAATAAAGAAGCTAAAGTAACATTTCTATCTTTAAAAATAATTTTTATTTTTACACCAATCTTATATAGTATTGACTTTTTTAATATATTTTTTATGGAAGTAAATGTATTGAACTTTTTTTTAGGTGTAATATTGTCACAAATGGGAGAAAATAACAAATTTCACCATGTATCTTTTTATTCAAGAGTATTTCTAATAGTAGAAATCAACTATAATATCAATGATAAAGAGCTTCTTATAACTAAAAATTTATTTAAAGAATAGCACTATTATCTTCAAAGTGCTTCTAATTTATTGACTATTTATACAAATAAAAAGAACCTCTAATATTCTATGTTAGAACATCTTTTGAATTGTTGCCAAACTTATTGGAATACTTTATTGTCAAGATTTGTATTTGATATCACTTATTGGCTACAAAAACAACAAGATTTATTTAATCCACTTTCTAAATATTATTTTATTGTAATACAACTAATAGGTAAAAACAAAAATAAAAAATTATATTATAGAAGATCTTATTTCAAATTCAATAGCAAACTACTTCAAAAAAATATACAATAGTCAAAAATTAGATGTTGATACTTGTCAATGATTGTTTATGAACTTGAAAGAAAATTAAATCTCAAGACACAAAATTGTGTCTTTTTGATAAATCCAAAATTCTTTCATTGATTGCACAATGAGATTTGTGAGCAAACTAAAAAAAAATTATCAAGCATCAATTTTGAATGATTTGAGTTTGCATAACTTTATAAGAGCTTTGCAAAATCATGGTTGTTTTGGAGTACCTCTTGTTTTGTGAAATAAAAAGAATTTATATTTTAAAACATCTTATGAGATATGTTGTAGATCTATCAATAAAAAATTATATATTTTTTAATATAATTGTATTCAGTGTATATTATAAATTTATATTTGACCTAATGGTTAAATTAAAGGATATTAAAATTTATCTGGATTAAGATCCCAAAAATTTTAGTTTAAAAGTTAAGTGAGAATTTTTAAGGTTTGCAATAATTTCCTAATTAGATTAAGATATAATTTAGCACACAAGGTACAAACTTAATTATCAACAATTATAAAAAATCAGAGTTTGGCATGTTAAAACTTCTTCAAATTTGTGGTTTTTGTTTCTTATTAAAAAATTGAGAGTTTTATAAAATTTAAATTAAGATCAATAATTAAATTATCTTAATAAGATTTTGAATCTATTATGAAATTTGATTAAGATTTGATTATAATTATTTAGGATTTTTTTAGGATTTTATTAAAATTTAATAAGATTCTTTTAGGATTTTGTTAGAATTTAGTTAGAGTTTAGGATTTAAAATTTGATTAAGTGATTGAGATTTGATTATGATTATTTTAAAATTTTATGAAGATTTGATTAGAAATTTCTTTGAATTTGATTAAAATTCAACAAAGATTTGATTAGAATTTGTTTAGGATTTGATTAAAATTCTTATATGATTTTATTAAATTCCTTTAGAGATTATTTATAATTTATTTAAAATTGATTAGGATATAATAAGATATATCTAGGATTTTTTAAAGATTGATAAGATCTACTTAAGATAATCGGAAGTTTATTTAGATTGTTTAAGATTGCAAAAAGATGTTT